ATATTGTTACAGAGGTTATCGTAAGAGGTAAAATGTTTATCGGCGATAAAGTGAAGCAAGTGCAAATAAGGAATACCGCGTGTGCGAAAAATAATTTTAATAGACCGGCGCAGAATTGTGTAATCTTTTGCTCTAAGACCGGCAAATAAAACTGGGGAGCAGCAGAGAAGATGAGTAATAACACAAGAATATACAAATCGAGTGAGTAAATACAGTGGAACTTTCAAAGTGCGCAAGCGGGTAATAAAGAAACACAACCGTCGAATCTTTAAAAAAGTAGAGTTTAAGTGTGAAGTCCAGGTGAGATCTTGGCAGATAGTGACACCGAGGTATTGTAGAGAATTTACTGGGGGAAGAGGCTGGTTGTCAACATAGAGCGCAGAACAATTTCTTTCAAAAGAATATAGCCGTTCTGCTTCGGCGAGCTAAACGGTGACATCGCTACATTTAGATGCATTGAGAGATAACTTGGAAGACGAAGACCCTAAGTTTAAGGCAGATAAACTGGTTTGAAGATGTGAGAAGCGGAAATCATCTCGGAATTTGGAACCAATAGTGACATCAGCAGCATACTTAATCAGAAAATCATTTGGGTTAGTGGGAATCTCACGAATATAGAAAGAGAAAAGAAAGGGGGCGAGAATTGCTCCCTGGAGCACCCCTGAGTTGACCGATAGGGAGTCAGAGGTTTTCCAAGAAACTTTGTGAATTGTGTTTTACCACCAAAATAATCTTGGAGTAGAGAGAGAGTATTATGGGACAACCCAGCACCTTGGAGTAGAGACAAAAGTCTGCTCCTGTCAACACAGTTAAAAACTTTACTATGGTCGAGGAAACACGAAATGCTGTGCCGTGCATGTCTACGGATCGCAAAACTGGGTTTACCCAATGCGCAAGAGCATCTGAGGTACATCGTTGTTTGCGATAAGCAAATTGGTTGTGATCTAGCTGCCCAGTTTTGGGAATAATGTTACGAAGCATAAACTTTTCGAAAATTTTTAGTAAAATAGAAGTACGGGCGATTGGTCGTAGTTTCCAAGCTTCTTTTTTGGGGACTGGTGTAATGCGCACAAGTCTCCAGCAGTCAACACTTTTTTGTTCCTCAAAGCAGCGGTTGAAAATACCGGAAAGTGGCTCCGTCAGATAATGCACACATTCCCTGAGGACAACTGGACTTGGTCTGCCATGACCGGAAGCTTTTGCTATTTATGGGCATTTCAGCTGTGCACGCACCTGGTTAGAATTGACATGTGAAACTTCATGATGGTCAACTGATTGGAAATAAGGATTAAATACTTCAATTTCATCATCATCATCGTCGTCGTCGCACAGCGAAATACAGGGAAGCTAACTTCACTGATCGCTGCCAAACTCGCAATGCATATGCTTTGGGGTTTGATGGACGGGTACTGCTAGGGTGTCCAGCCACTAAGCAGGAGAACGATTAGGGTTCTCAACCAAAGCCTTTACTTCTGATAAGAACCTAGCTGCAAGGCCTCGGGTGAAGCGAAGAGGAGGCCCATTTACTCCTCCACCATTTTTTATCGACTGAAACTTCAGTTTCAGTTGACGTGGAAAAACATGCAGTTGAGTTCATCTGCTGTGGGTTGAGGCCCGCGTAGTCTGACTTTTGTTCCATAGAGTTTTTTTCATAGCGCACCAGATTTGCTTGCAATTACGGTCGTCAAGAAGGGTTTCAGTGTAAAGTTTGTCAAGATTTTGGATCTCATTCTTGATCAGCACTGACGTTTGTTTAGCTAAAGGTCGATCACGATTTCTATATTCCATTCCTTGGTTCTTCTGAGGGTCTTCCAAGTGAGAGAAGAAAATCTGGTGGGACTGATGTACATAGGCACTATGGGACAGCAGGTGTCAAAGCAGNAAAGCAGAAGTTCAAATAGCTCGTGAGGTGTTCACACTCGATCGAGACACTTGGATCAATTTGTACCAGAGACCAGTTCTCTCAGTGATGCCAAGTGGACCGGGTCACAGCCTATGAAAAATCTTCCGGCTAGATGTACGTGTCAGTGTGCTATGATGTTTCTTTGAATAGACTTTTGGTAAAACATTGATGATATAATGATCAGAGTTTGCCAGAGGGGCTCCTCTTCGCACAGCAAACAGGTCGGGATCGTCCAAAAACATAAGATCCAGCTGTGCGTTTCCCCTTGTGGAGAAATTTACAAGATTGTGGAAAGAGAGACATGTCAGGAAATGAATGTCAGCGTGGTTAAAATCACCACTAACAATAAAAAGAGAGCGTCCCGCGTAGTTGGAATGTTCGGATATAAATACATCAGCAAACGTCTGTACATCAGATGTACTGGAAGGTGCTATGTAAATTTTTGATGCCACAATGTAACGATATTTACTAAGGAAACGGGGTTTACATTCAACCGAAAGACGAGATATATCCTACGTTGTAGGTGAAAATAATCTTTGTAGACTTATACCAAGACGATTTGATGTAGGTTATTAGACCACTGCCTCGATTTCGTAGTAACCAGTCTCTATCCAACCGATGCATATCAACTAAATCCAGCTCAACCAAAGAATCGTTGATATCAGGATGCAACCACGTTTCTTGCAGCATAACTATCCCCAATGCATGGTATTTTTACATCCTTATCAGTTTCGTGAAGTCGCTCATTTTTCCCAATAGTGATCGTACGTTTGATGAACAAATAGCAGGGTTTGTGTTACGTAAAGCCACTTGCCAGCCTGCTCGGTGTTTTCTGAAGAAACCTGACCTAGATGGTCAGCATCTTTTGTATCTATTTTTAACTTGACGACTGAACTGATAGAGAATGTCACCCTTGCGCGATAACACAATGTTAAAAATTCTTTGAAGATTTCGGGGCGTACGTAATCACGAAAGCGATGGAAGAATACTTGATTCAAACGATTAAATCCAATGTGTGAAGTAAAAGTTGAAAAGTTATCCACCGGAGCACAAAATGTAGCACGGCCGAAATTTGAAGGCCCCGCCGAGGAGGAAGCCCCAGGTACCCCGCTCCTACGTCCATCTAACGGGTTTTTTGACGGGTAAACTGTCATCTGTAGATGGAGTGTCATGTGATTTTTTGCTTCGTATTCTGATCGACAAGAAACAGACATTTGCTACTTGGGTTCGCTCCTTTAGTATTTATCGTTCCTTTCAAGTATATTCCTGATTAGGGGATAGTATTTTTATGTATGTTCCTTAGATTTTTTTAGTGTAATCTAATGGTACTGATTCCCTCGGGATTCATAGATAACCTAGAGCTGTGAAATATTTTCATTATAGCTTGGTTCATCTTATAGAAGCAAAAAAGTGACTCCCCGGTAAAACTTCTAAATGTTTTTTGCGAAGAATTCCTTTTTCATGTTTTACGAATACTCAGGTTTGGGTTTTTATATTTGTGTAATCATATATATCGTCCTCAGTTATCCGGTTTCATACTGTGCTCAATATGCTAACGCACACAAATACGAATAGATTTGACGCTTAATTCACACTATGAATATGCAACGACCGTCATTTACCGCTATACAGATTCACAATGACTTCCATTATGCGAATCAACCAAAGACAGTTGAGTTATCAAAGTTTAATTCTCGGTCATTGTTTTAGGAATATATTTGTTATTTAAATTTCCTTAATGATACTCGAGATTCGTTTTGAAATTAGGCTATGTAAACGAAATGTCCTACAGTCAAGAGGGTTGCAAAATTCATTTCGTTACAGCTTTTGGGATTTAAGCAATGCCCGCCGAGCGCGTGGTCATTGTTCGACGCCACCCAAGAAAAGAAAAACCGCTTGTCGTCGTAGTGAGTGCAACAAAAATCTAAGTTGTGCTTTCTAACAATACTAACGCTCTGGTGATTCATCTGCCTTTGAAGCTATATATTACTAACACCTAGGATCTACGGGTGTCTTTTGTGATGTAATTATTCTTCCAAAATTTAAGAGAGAAAGGCAAGTAGAATTAATTTAACTAATTTTATCGTGTTTTCTGAAGATGTCTGTTAAATTGATTTTAAACTCATCACTTTAAGGCAGTCTGTTAAAAAGAATATGGATGTTGATCAGAGGACTGACGCTGAACTTAAAAGCGAGGAGCCCCAAGAACCAAAAGATGATGTCACGGATATCAGCGAAGTGCCATCTATGCAAAATTTTGAACAAACGGAGCATAAAAACACGGTGGAATTCCTAACTGACTTCAAGGGTACGAATATTGAATTCAAGGAGATCACTTTGGGTGGCCGAGATCGCATGTCAATGGTCATGGAGGAGGACGAAGATTTCGATGCAAATAATCATCCAAGCTCCGAGGAATTAGATGCAATGCTGATGCGGAACTCTGTTCTCGTGGAGGACAGTGACACAATGGATGATCTCTGTTCCTTGGGACTTATGGTCGAGGATATAATCGTGAGCCGACCACATAGTGTTGTACTCTATATGTTGTGGGAGTTATAGTGAAGAAGGCAAAATATGGTACTAACTTTCGTTGTCCAAACAGATCACTCTATTCTTAAATTACATTACATTTACTCACTGTTCTGTTTTACAGAACCACCATCGTCGAGCTACTATTCCAAGTAAGTCAATTGTTTACACTTGAGATAAATTGAAGAATCGTTTTCGTTCGTACTTTTATTCATTCCTTTTCTGGTGGGAATCATATTCATGGTGCTTTCTTATTTTCCGCCGCTAACGTGAGTATGAATATTAGTCAGGTGCACATACTAACAGGAAGTTAGTTATCTCTTGTATTTCTCTTGTATTCTCTTGTATCTCTTGTATTTCTTGTAATGTTAAAGTCCCGGTGTTTAGTTAATTTTTTTTACCCCATTGTCCACGTTATGGATGGAAGTTACAGAGCAAATTAATATTTGTACCATGATCAGACGCCAGATTGATATAACTTTCTAATCTTGTTTTATACGCTTTAGTGATCCACAAACAAAACTCTTATTAAATAGCATTCAGTTGGGATTTTGTCCTTCTACCGAAGAAGGAAAGTGTGTTTTAATAAAATGGGGATGAGAACGACTTTTGAAGCTTGGTTCATATCTAATGTGTTTAACTAAGAATCGTGTGGTATTTGAGAACATTTTCAAGTAATATTTAACCTAGTTCTAGTTTGCTGTTGATAAGCGAGAACTAAAAGGCCTATTAGGTACTTTTGGAGTTAGCTTGTCGAAGAAATAAACATGGTTAAAAACTAGCCCTATGGCAACAAACTCTTTTCAGGAGTGTGAGAAATAGTTACAGACGTTACAAATTCAGACGAGCATCAACGGAAATATTAGCCATAAAAGGTCAGTAAAGCAGCTGTTCGTTGATGGGTTTATTATAATTTTCTTATATTAGATGTCGGTCATGAATAAAGGAGATAGTTTTTCTTTTTATTCGAGTCATTGGATGACAAAATGCCATTTCGTTCGTTCGTTGCGCAAGGGAATGACAAAAACAGACCTTTCATAAATTATGAATTTATCTTGTGGGAAAGAAGCCTGTGTGGAACGTTTTGTATGGAGTCAGACGATCAAGGAACAAGACCGAGAAAGAAAAACCTGTATAGACAAACTGAAGAAAGATGAGGGAGGCAGTGTCAGTATGCATCATTTTCGTCGTGGCAAACATTTATACAGCTTATGGAAGCTTATGTGCTTGAATTTCAGCAAAAGGTTTACACTGGTCATCACAGAAAGTGAAAAAGCAGCTAAATTTTGGTTTATGCTCAAAACTTCCAACGTAATCCAGTTGCGACCTGTTCCTTGTCGGTCAGCAGCCGGGACAGGTTGGGTACAGGAAAATTCTTATAAGTGTTATTGTTATTATTGGGGGTAGATGTCGAAAAAAGGATCGTGTGGACGGATGACAACGACAAGACGATAAATCAAGGTGCAGTAGATGAAAACGTTGGTCTAGAATTTCATTGATGACTTTCATTCAATAGCCGCAAAAGTACAACCAATAATAAGTGAACAATAAATCAACTAAGTAAAAATCAAAGTTTTTATTATGGGCGATTTAACAAAGCTAAAGCTCATAATGCCCCATAGGATTTTACAGAATATTTTGAATAACTTCACAAAGAGAAAATAATAATAATAATTTGCATGATCACTTACGGATGTCGAAATTTTAAGTGTTCCAATGCTTTATCAAGTTGCTATTTAAATAGTTCAACTGTAGGAGCACACACTACATTTCACCTTCCTTGTAGAGTTGATATGTTTATAAAGCAATTTTGGATCAGAAATGAATTTTTGAGTCAGGGTTTTTTGGTACATCAATTTGTCCTCTCGTACGAACTTGGTACACTGATTCCGCATTGAGGAATAATTATTCCAAGTTTCGATAAATTTACATCTTCTATACTCCCGCCAGGAAAAGTTCCTTTGCTCTATCCATTTCTTTGTTCGGCTACGAGTGAATGACTATCAAGTTTTAAATTTAACACAAGTTTTGATACTTGTTGCAGCCGTTACAGTTTTGGTGAAATGATCAGTAAAGTTCTTCTATGCCACCAAATGATCGTGATCGTCTTCTGGTAGGAATCATTGCGTAATTATTGCCAGGTTTTGCAGCTTTTTGTAGTCTATGATGGCACGAGTACTTCTCTTTCGGTTTTCTTGGGTAGAGGCGTAGGCTATATAATGAGACTTCAATACGGCATGATCACTACTTCCTAATGGAAACGTGACATTGGCAGATTCCACCATCAGCTCCTCGTTAATCGGTACTAAATCCAGTGTTGATGGTGCGTAACCTGTTCCAAATCTGATGGGTTCTGTTACGTGGTTGTACAATGGGTGCAAGCCAATAAACTGGGATAATTGTCTCTCAAATGGCTGACGGAAAGTTCTCGTTCCGAAGAGACTGGGACAGTTAAAATCACCCATTATGGGACATGAGTGAACTTAAGTGATAATGCATTCCTCATGGTTTGTAACAGAATCTCGTTGGCTGAGTCTGAAGATGCGTGAGGTCTGTACACGACACCGATTAGACATCTGTCGTTCTTGGAGAGTCTTAGTGAACACCATAACGAGTCGGGTGCTGCGTCGAGAATATCAGACTATTCACACTGCA